TCCAGGCAGCAACCAGAGTCTCCACCGGACCGTGGGCGAGAGTATCAGGAATAACCCCAAGCTCCATCTGGAACCTCAATGGCTCCATAAGTCACCTGGGGCGGAACCACTTGGTCGGTTCCTCCTCCCTACAGTGGGGGTTTGGTCTCCGAAAGTCGAGCCTCAGTAGGCAGTGGTCTGACCACGACAGGGGTATGATCTCATTACCCCTCAGACCAAGATCACAAGTCCACTCCGAGCGAAATACGAGGTCGAGCATGTGACCCGCTGAGTGGGTTGGGCCCCGGATTACCTGGGTCAAGCCCATGGCCGTCATGGAAGCCATGAACTCCTGCGCCCCATCAGAGTGTTCACCGAGCGAAGGCAGATTAAAGTCCCCCAGGACCATAAGCCTGGGGAACTCAATTGCTAGCTCGGCTACTGACTCGAGGAGCGAGGGGAGGGCTGCTGCAACGCTGTTGGGAGGCAGGTACGTTAACAGCAAACCCACTTGACCCTTGAGGTCCAACTTCACCAGCTGTTCATGCAACCATTATCTAGAAATATTTTGGGACAAAAAGTGAAGATCGGTTATCCATATATATAAAAGTGAAATACCACTTATGCATCATCACAAAATCTCCAGAACCATAAAGCCTACAAACTTCAGACTTGCCACTTCCTCTTGGCTTTTAGGTGCTCACTAAGAAATGATTTTTCAAAATGACCATCAGAGTATTAGTATTTCCTATACTAGTATCTAATAAATGTGTAGTAAAGGAAATAAAATGAAACAAACCTTCTAATAATAAGAAATTAAAAAAAATATATTCAAGAACAGAAATGGCTAGCATAAAACCTCAGCCTTTGTGTCTCAGATGGACAACAAAATTATTTTGATTCTTCATATCCTTACACATGTCTACTTTTCCTTTTCGGTATGGAAGAGAATCTTGCTTGGGTGCACCCTTGTAGAAGGCAAAGCATGCATGAAATGATTCAGTGAAACTTCATTGCACAGCACTCAAAACAAAAAAAAACAATTTAAACATCTCTGTTGAAATTAGTTTCTGCCCTTCTCCCTACATATATACTACATTTAATTCACAAGAGTGTAATAAATGGTTACAGTTCTTTAACTGCACATAGTTGCCAGCATTCACAAAACACATTGCCTCCTGGAAGGCAAAAACATCAAAATGCAGGTAAATAGAAAAGAACAGATGGTGGTGAAAGAAAAAAAATACTTTCCCTAGATCTTGAGCCAGTATTCCTGGATGTTTTATATCTCCACTGAGTGTAGTAACTGCAGACCTTCATGCTTTACAGATGGAAATGTGAGTTTTCAGAGAGACTGAGCAGGTGGATTTTCCCCATGTGTCCAAATTACAGGAACATCTGTGCTAAACAATTTCAAGCAGATCCAATGTAAAAATTGCCAATATTCAATAACCTCTCAATATCCTTTTCCTTACAAAAAAATATATCTGATTTCATGGCCATAAGCTGGGATATTTCATAAAGCCATACAGGGGTTTTAATTCAGACCATAGTCAGAGACGTCTCTTGTCTCTTACCTTTTATTCTTCATTGATTTATCTATTGTTTATTTTTTCAAATATGCTTAATGTGTGCGGTCTTCCTGTCTGAAAGATTTAGGATTACAGTGTATTGGGCTAAATTTGCTTTAAACTATGTGTGTGTGTACACAGACATGTATTTTTTAGTCTCCATCTATACCAGTTTTAATATATTTCATTATTAGGTATTTAAGCACAGAAAAAAATGACAAAAATCTCCATATCATTTGCATATTTCTTTTATATTTAACACATTGAATGTTTCAAACCTGAGTGTTTTTTCTCTACAACTGTGAACAGATATATGCATTTTTATATTCTAAAATATATCTAGGGAAAGCATGAATTTTATGCCCATTTATAATATTGTTGATTCCATTTCTGCTGTAGATAATTGACTTTAAAATACATTTATATTGCATTTCTCTAATAATCACTATCTACATACACAGTTTGAAGGCTCATTCATTCGTCTATGCTGTACATATGCAAGGACATTCAGCTCCAGCAGAATAAATAAAATTGCCTGTCCTGATTCTCAATTCATTTTCTCTTTTCCTAATTAAGATAGGAACTAAATTACTACTACATTGGGATTCATACATTGTGACTGAATATTAGTTGCAGATCTATAAAATTGAAGAAGGTCCTGATAGATTTCCAATGGATTGTTATAAAAACAAGGCTTGGCAATCCCAGCAACCTGGTTTTGACCTTCTCCCCAGCATTCTGGCATTGCAGTGCTGAGGTTCAATGGCAGAATTTTTGCACTGCATTTTGAGGCAGTTACAAGTGGTATGTGTTCTGACCTAGGGTTCCCCAAAAAACACGAGGCAGAGTCCTGGTCCCAACAAAACACCTTTTATTAAATGAGTATGAATTCCTCTCATTCACATTCAGCAAGGCCTGGAAAACAGTCTTTCAAATGATTATTTATGACTACAGACCTTATCTATCTTGGAAAGCTGCCATATAAATATTCTACAAATTAGGTGTTGTGCAAGGAAAGACTGGGCACAGAGTCTCTGAGATTCACAGATCTTCACACTCCTGAAACAAATCTAATGACCAAATGAATTGTTTCCTTCCCCTTTCGCTCCTCTTTTATTTCCTATGAGAGGCCCCAATCACCTTCCACCTGTGACTTTTACTCCCAAGTATACCCTGATTTCTGAGTTGTTCTGTTCTTCTGCCAGCTCTGTGTATGTGCATACTGGGAACAGGCTTTAACTGTTCGTCTGCCTCACTGCTGTCTAGCTCCGTAGGCACCTGATCACTGCCAGACAGCCTCGACCCCATCTGTGCCTCTGATGCAGAACCCTCATCCAAGCCTTCCCCAGCCTCCAGGGCTGGCCCATGCTCCTCCCCAACCTCCTCACTGTCCAACTCTGCTGCCAGCTCTGCTGGCTGCTGGCTGACCACAACAGTATGAATGGTTGTAAGGAAAAGAATTGTATTGGCTTTCCTCCCCCTCCATTCCGGCTAATCAGCATGTGGATCTCTGCAATANAGAGGGGAGGGGGTGAAGCTCCGAAAGCCACCCCCTCCCTGAAGGAAGGGGATGGGATGCCACACATGCACTCCTAGGACGCTGTGACATTAAACATCATGGCGTTTTCTTGTCACATGCATGGCCATGCGGCCACGCAGCTTAGAGGGAACATTGACTGTAATATGTGGGTCACTGCTGGACTTCTCTTTCATCAGCAGACTGTCTGGAAAGGTTAAAGGATGTTTTGTCCCAGCTGTCCAATCCTGGGGACAATGTGAGACCTAACCTTTTTGAAAAGCTGTGTTGCTTTTTTAATCAAATAATAGAGGCATATGGGCTTCTTTGGCTAGGAACAAGGCTCACATCTCTTAGATCTAGGAAGGAAAACACACAAATCCAGGTGCAACAACCAATGTTGGACCAACAATTCTTGGAAACTGCCTTGAGTTGCCATGCGCGAAAAGGCGTCAATATAAATTTCCATAAATAAATAAATAAACAATCTTGCTGTTTCAAAGTCGCTGATAAGAGGTAATGGGGAAAGTAGCCCATCAGGATTCCCATTACGTTCATAGGACCTTGAGCAAGGCTTTACTCCAAAATCTCATTCTGTCTGTCCCTTGCAGCAAGATAAGACTGAAGATTTATGACACTTTCAATAAATTTGATCCCGAGGATGCTTTCAATAAATTTGATGCTGATGCCTCCTATAATGACTTAACTATGAAAAGGGGGTGGGGCACATATGTGAACTTTTGCACTTATCACAGCAGCTGTGGCAGAGATCAATTTACTCCAGATGCCCTCCCAGAGTTTGAGAGCAAGTTGGAGATCAGACAGATACTAAGAGTTACATCAGATATTAAAATGGATACTGATGTGCACTCAGTTAAGTATATTAGGGAAGGCAACTTCTATTTGCTTGAGAGTGTATAAATCAAGACAGGAGATGTGTATCAGCTGGAAGGATGTTCTTTCTCCAGTTTTTTTTTATGCACAGCCTCTCATCCATGTGTATCTCTTCTCTCCTTTCAGCAGCCCAAATCCTAAATAAGCATCCCTATTTAATTTGTAGGTCATCAGGCCAGAGGAAGCACAAATATGCATTTTCATTTTCCCTCTCTTGTACTATCAGCACTCCCTGGTCTTTCTCGTGTTTGACTTCCACGCAGACCTTCAACCTACCTTTCTTCTGGTAGAGGTCATAGTGAACATTCCTTTGCAGCCGGGTGTGCGGTGAATTTTGGGTCACAGTCAGCAGTTGGCATCCATAACGCTGCCAGTTGTAGAGAAAGGCTCTGGAAAAAAACATAGACAGCAGCCTCATGAGATATTTTTGGCATGGAGAATTGCTTGTTTGCCTAAACTTTTTGACTCTTTCTCCAACTTTCCTGCTCGTGGTCATTGCCATGTCTAGTTGTTATTTACTTTGCCTGCTTTTTTTTAAATATACTGGGCATATAATATTTTGCCTTACCATGTCTCTTTTCTATTCTTCATTTGGTCTTTTTTGTAGACCAGTTCGGACTTTTTGTTCTTCAGTAAGTCTTTGTGGTAGACTAATTTCAGTGCATCTTCTTCACTGTTTTTCCTCAACCCTCAAAGTCTCATTCAGAGCTCATTCAGAGCTTGGTGTGTGTGTGCATCAATGTATGTATGGGGATGTATGTGCAGCCAAGTACCCATGTACATGCTGAAGAGACATGTACGCATGAAGTGAAATTAACACATAAGATAAATATCACTTACCCCAACATTCTAATAAAGCATATGTTTTTCAAGTAAAGAAGAATTAAGATTCTTCTGGATCAAGCCCAACTCTTGGGGACCACATAATATACTCCTGGCATTCACCCTAAGGCTCCTAATAGTTTCTCATTCAAATTCAAACTTGCTCAGGGGTTTTTCTACACCAAAATCAGGTGCATGCACAAAGTTTCCCAGTCAAAGATGTTGGACAGCAGCAGGACCAGGAAAAGCCTTCCCAGGCTAAAATGACTTTTTTAAGGATTCTTCTGAATCTTGGGAAGCACCAGGAGAAATTCCTGCTGAAATCCTGGAGAACTGCTGCTTCTTAAAAGGTACTACCAGCTAAAAAAAGCAATGCCTTACTCAAGGTAAAGCAATTGTCTGAGCTTATACTAGTAAATCCTGCATCTCACCTGCCTGAAGCTATGGCTCCCCCCACCCCACCCCCCACCCCTTACCTGCAGTCTACCAAGGTGTTACATTGCCGGGCACATTCTTCTACTTCATTGATCTGCTCCCCCCTCTGTTGAGCCAAAGTGATCAGGTTAGTAGCCTTTAGCCTTTGGAAGTCATTCAGTGAAGAACGGTTACCTGGAAAGCATAGAAAATGTCAGTCATTCTAGATCTCTGAAAAGAAAAGAAAATCAATTGTCAACAGAAACAAGCATGAGGATGTGCCTCAATAATATTGTATACTTAGCACAGTTAAATCACAGTCTTTTCTAAGAATTTGAGAATTGAATATCATCACTTTTTTAAGAAGGAGGAACTAGAATAAAGAGATCAGCTTAGCATGAATGAAGTTCCTTGGCTCAAATGAGAGTGCATGATTCTTATATCTGAGACTTCTAGGTTAAAGGACTGTATATTTAACAGATGCACTCCAGGTTGACAAGAATCATACATACATAGATGTTTTCCAGTGTGGGGATGGGAAAATATTGTATTTACTACATTTCAGCCTTAGATATATTATTGCACTGGTTTTTTTTTAAAATGCCAAATTGCAGAATGTGTAGCTAAGAAGTTTGAAAAAATGAGAAGGTTTCAATTATTGCCATAGACATTCAAAAGTTTGCTAACAGAGAACCACCAATTGTTCTGGACAGACAACAAGGCAGAGGGAAATGACATCTATTGCTCTCTCTAAAGCAGGGGTCACCAACCTTTAGGATCTCAGGGACCACTAAATTCATAATTTTAAATCCTGCGGATCACTAATTTGATCTCCCTAATGGTCAGCTGGGTGGGCGGGGCAAGGTTGTCATGTGACTGGGTGAGCATGGCCAACTCAATGTCACTCATCTCGAGGGGCGCCTTCCCAACCTCTACTCGCCACTCCTCGCCTGAGCTCCTTAGGGCACCAAACAGGAAGCAGTTGCTGGAGTTGCTGAGCAGCCACCATGAGAAAGAGTTGGCAAAATAGCTGGCTCAGTTCAAATTGGATCTAACTGAGAAGGAGGCTCAGCAGAAACACCTCACTGAGTACTACGAGCAAAGGCTTTCCAAGCAGAAGGAAGATCTGCAGGAGTACAAGGCCAGTTGCCAGCCCCTGGAGGCTCAGCAGGCTGAGAATGTCAGCCAATTCCAGACCATGATGTGGTCCCACTGGAATGAGGCCTCCGTCTCTTTGCCACCAGTGGCACTTCCCTCCAGCCTTCGCCCAAAGCCCTACACAAAGAAGCTGAAGCAGACCTCAAGTCAGAATTTCTCCCCTCCCCCCTGACCCCTATGAAAAGACCCCAAAGGGGGAGCCTCTCTGCAGCAACACAAACGTTCATCGCACTTATCCGGCCCAGGGGCCGTAGTTTGAGGACTCCTGATTTAGTGCAATATTAAAAAATGCAAATAATGTTCCTACAGACCATCAAAATTTTCTCACGGACCACCAGTTGTTGACCACTGCTCTAAAGAGACAGCTCTTAACAGACCAGGATAGAAATGTCTGATCTTTAGGCAGGAATGAAAACCAGGAGACTCTGGAGTTCTAGTGCTTCCTCGGGCATGAAAGCCAGTAGGGTGACTTTGGATCAGTCACTCTCTCAGCTCAACTCACTTCACAGGGTGGTTATAGTGGGGAAAATAAGAAGAGGAAAGAGATATGCTGTCCATCGTGCATTATTTATAAAAATAATAAAGGAAGGATTAAAAAAAAAAATACACTATCCACTAATATGTGGAGAGAAATATCTCAGGGCAGAAAGCTTTGGTAAACAGCAAAGGAAAAAGGACTCTTCTGGGGAAATATCCTGATTATAGAGCTTATAGTATAGAGAAGCAGCACCTTCTGCATTCTAAGGAATTACTCAAACAAGATAGAAGCACCCTGTGAAGATTCAGAGTGGGTCGGTGGGTAGATCCTCACCTTTGCTGGCGGTGCAGAGAAACACAAGGATCAAGACAGCTGTCGCCTGCATGGCTTTCTCCACCACACGCAGTCTTCCCAACATGGTCACATAGATATGTCAACAAGGTTATATCTCCAGAAATATCCGGCAGGAAGCTACAGCTGGCCAAATATTTACTTAGGGTTGGCGTATCAGCAATAATTCCACAGCTTCAAAGCACATGGGGTACGGTTGCCCATTAGACCCTCAGTACAGTGAGCCCTCAGAAGCAGTATTTCTCCGCTTCTCTTTTTCCACTCTGCCCCAGTTTCACAAAAGTTCCCAAAAAGAGACAATCACTCCCCAACTTCCCCAAATGTAATGTAAAGTGAGGCTGGGAAATTGCTCCATATCAGTTCAAGCAGGCCTTGGGTCAAGAGCCTTCCCCTTCCTGTTAGTGGTCAAACAATGGGACCGCCCTACAGTCTCATCGATCTTTACTGCTGACCAAGCCAAGCAGATTGAAAAGTTTCCAAGAGTCCAGCACGAGCCAGATCTGAAAAAGATAGTTGCCAAGTTACGGCCCGGCAGTCTTCTTATGCCAGTGTTTCTCAACCTTGGCAACTTTAAGCTGTGTGGACTTCAACTCCCAGAATCCCCAGCCCTGACTAGGAATTCTGTGACTTGAAGTCCACACAGCTTAAAATTACCAAAGTTGAGAAACACTGCCTTAAAACATTGGCTATATATGACCAATAAAGAAAAACTGACATTTGCAAAAAGATGTTCAGCTTCAGTCTACAAAGCAAGAATATCCTTACCTTTCCATTGCTGAGAAGGACCTTCACAAGGAACTTGTTCTTATCTTGGAGAAAAGGAGCTCCACTGATTTCTATCTTTTGGGTGGAGATCATGGGTGGGCATTATTCAAAATTAGAAATCCAAAAAGATCTAACATTCCTGAATAACAATGGGAAATGCCTTGGTTATACAGTAGTTAATGGCACAAAGCCATTTGCCAGATTATTTGTCTAACATTTTGTTCCAAAACATGTTTATTCAGAGATTTTACGCAGTTCCAGAGTATTTTTCCCCTCACAAATATGTTATGATATCTCCAAGCTTTGTAAATCAGTAGAGATATTTAAAATTTAAGATCATGTCCTAAGTATTCCTCTGATCACAAGCTAATCATAATAAACCTAGACAGAGAAACCACTGTTTTATTTATCGCCTCGGTTCAAATACCGCATAGTGGAATTCTATATTAATTAAGATACTGGACTGATTTGAAAATCCAGTTCAAGTTTTTGAACTGCTTGTATTTTGGGAGGATCTATAAATATCCAGTCCATATTTTGTAACAGTTACACGCAGTTACACGCAAGAGAATAGACTGGGGTCAGCCACAAAAGTTTGTGGTTGTTTTGTTCTGTATAACTTTTAATTGGATTTAAATGAATACTTCTCATAGATACAGACTTAACCGGGGATATAATTAAAGTTTGTGAAGTGCACCATCTTCAGCTTCACTGTTTCCTGGAATCTTAAGGCTGATTCACATGAGCAGCTTTTCCTAGATTAAGTACTGACCATTTCTCAGGGGCAAAGACAGTGACAATTGCAGATGTATGTCAAAATCAGCAAGATGTCAGACAGAGCATTGCAATGTGAACCCCCATCCCATTCCAGCATATGTCAACATCACATTCACATTCAAAAAGGCTGGGGCTTCGTTCACAATCTTCAATTTGCCATCTTGCTCCATCTTGCTGATCTTGACTGCTCCTTGTGGACATTAAATAAAAAGCAACACATATCCCATTACATATCAAAAGTAATATTCCCAACTTGTGCCAAGTCAAGTAGCGCTGTCTGGTTCTCCGGCTATGCTTCATTTCATTGTAGGCAAATATCCCACTCCAACTGCTTAATGTGTTGGGTGCAGCAACATTTTCTTCCCTCTGGTTGCTGCCTTCATTGCCCTTTAAAAAAAAGATAAGTACATCAATGGAATGTGAGTAGCGTTTTGTTGCTTTTGCTTCATTTATATACCCTCTGTGTATGTGTATGAAAGAAATGTCCTTCTGGGTTCAGCTCCAAGTGGGGAAGNGTTTCAATGGCAGCCGAAGCAGCAGCAAAGCAGAGGCTGACAAATACATTGACAAGAACCTGGCCAGATTCATCCAGCCAACACATTCCGAGTTGCTGCCTCGGTGTTGTTTAAGGAGAAAAAAGATGGGTCAATGGGCTTGTGCATGGACCTTTGGGGCATAAACGGTGTGTGTATTGAAAACATGTACACACTACCCCTAATGAAGGACATGTTGGCCCACTTGGCTAGAGGTAACATCTTCACTAAATTGGACCTACAGGAGGGATACTACAGGGTTCATGTAAGGGATGGGGATGAGTGAAAAATGTCCTTCAACTGCCCCCTGGGGAGCTACCAGTTTAAGGTGATGCCGTTTGGGTTGCAGGGGGGTCCTGCAGTATTCATGCAACTTATCAATGAGGTGCTGCATGAGCACCTGTAGAAGGGCGTATTGGTCTACCTGAATGATATTTTAGTTTATACGGAGACCATGGAGGAGCACATTCAACTAGTCCAGCGGGTGTTGAAAAACTTACTTGAGGCACATCTCAAGTAAAACTGGCAAAGTGTGAGTTTCATCGCACCTGTTTGGACTATTTGAGTTATTGGATGTCCAGTGTGGGGGTGGGGGTGGAGATGGATCCTGCCAAGATGAAAGCTGTCCTGGAGTGGCAGGCTCCCAGGACGCGTAAGCAGTTGCAGAGCTTCCTGGGATTTGCCAACTTCTATAGGCAGTTCATACCCTCGTTTGCCCAAGTAGCTTTGCCGATCACCAACCTGCTGAAAACCCAACCTGCTATGACCAAGCCCTGGCCCAACAAGCCCCTTCAGTGGACTGTAGAGTGCCAGCGTGCCTTTGAAACACTGAAGGGTCTGTTTGCCCAGGAGCTGATCCTCATGCACCTCGATCCCAAATGACCCTTTGTTATCCAAGCAGAAGCCAGCAATGTAGCCATCAGGGTTGTTCTACTGCAGTACAATGATAAAGGCGAGCTGCAGTCTTGTGCCTATACCTCCTGGAAACTCACCAACGTAGAACGACAGTGGGGAATTTGGGAGAAGGAGGCCTTCGCAGTGCGCTGGGCACTGCTGATGTGGCAACATTACCTGGAGTGTAAAATACCATCGAGGTATGGACTGATCACAAAAAACTGGCAGCTCTACAGACCCCAAAGAAATAGTCACCGAAACAGGTGAGGTGGGTGCAATATTTCCGGTATTTTCAGTTCACCCTCAAGTATATACCAGGAGGGAAGAATTTCTTGCTGCATGCCCTGTCTGCTACCGCAGTACAAGAGTGGCTCGGAGGAAGTAGTGCATGCAATCATCCCACCGGTCCAGCCAGCGGCAAAGGTTGAGGCAGAGCAACAACAAGCCAAAAGTACGAAATTCTAGGAACTTGAATAGCCCGGCATGTACCTTAGCTAAAAGTCTAAAATTGTGATGGCAAACCTATGGCATGTGTGCCACAGGTGGCACGCAGAGCCCTCTCTGCAGGCACGTGAGCCGTCACCCCACTTCAGCTCCACCATGCATGTGTGTGCACCTCCCACTGGCCAGCTGATTTTCGGGTCTCTGCCGCACATGCAGGGGGTGTGGGGCGCATGCAGTTGTACATGCGCCCCCCCTGCACCCCATTTTTGGTCCCAGGGAGGCCTGCTAGGCCCAAAACGGGGCACAGGGGTGGTCACGCGTGCACATGCAGGGGGAAGGGGGGAGCATGGGGGGGTCACATGTGCAGGGTGCAGGATGCATGGGGGGTGTCATACATGCATTGCATTATGGGTGTGGGCATGCACATGTGCGTTGTTGCATGCACGGACACTTTCGGCATGCAACAACAAAAAGGTTAGCCATCAATGGGCTAAATTCTACCTCCCATGCCCTAGATGCCCTAAATAAAGAATTGAGGCAAGTCAGAGAAGCAACCCTCGAGAATTGAGCAGCTATTGACTACCTGCTGTTGAGACACAAACATGATTGTGAAGAATTCCAAGGACTCTTTTGTTTCAACTTGTCTGACCAATCAGGGCTAATTGAACAGGATATTCAACACTTAAAAGCTGGCACAAAATATTGGGCATAACCAATCCTCCCTAGACCTATTCTGGCTCTTTTCCTGGCGACTGGGCTTACATTGGCGAAAAGTCCTCATATTAGGCATAGTTGCAGTCATTACACCTTGCCAAGAGCCAAGGTGGCGCAGTGGTTAAATGCAGCACTGCAGGCTACTGCTAGATCAGCAGGTCAGCGGTTCAAATCTCACCGGCTCAGGGNAGATATTAATCAGTCCAGAAATACTATAAATACATTTTTTGTAAAAAAATTTGAAACCCACCACTGTGTCAGTGCCTCACCAGCCATAAACCTCACCGCACATCGCTGCTACAAATACAAAATGGCATGGCTATTAAAAACAATTTAATCCTATTTAAAATAGTCAATCATAAAGTTAATGTGTAGGATCAACAACAATCTGTTTTGTAATTTGTTACTATTGCTTCTGTTATTATTCTTTTACAAAAAATGTATTTATAGTATTTCTGGACTGATTAATATCTACCATGCAGAATTACCTTTTAAAAATTGCATGTGCTTTTATGAGTCTTGAATTCATGTTTGTGCAAGTCCAGAGGATTTCTTTCAAAATGTTTTTCAAGGTATACATATAGTCATGCCATATGTATATGTACACTATATGTTTGTATCATGAACCATTTAATAGATCTCCTTTAAGTAAACAAAAATATATTTCAAAGAATTCAAATAAAAGAATATTTCGCATGTTATTTTAAATATTAATGCTCCAAATTGAAATTCTGCATTGTATCTGCAATGAATACCAAAAAAATTGTTTTATCTTTATGGTTACCATATTTTCAGTGGTGTAATAAACTACTTTCTTTATTCTTCCTTTATTCTTTGTACACACATGAATGTACCCCGTTGTATAACGCCAACACAATTATTCGATTTGCAGATGACACAAGAGTGGTGGGGCTCATTAATAAGAACAATGAGTCTGCTTATAGGAAGGAAGTACAAGGGCTGACATTGTTGTGTAAAGAAAATAATCTTACACTTAACACAAAAACTAAAGAACTTATAATTGACTTCAGGAGGAAGAGAGATGTACATTTACTATTGTACATAAATGGCGAGGAGGTGGAGAGGGTTGGTAGTTTTAAATTTATGGGCATTTATATCTCGGAGGACCTCTCATGGACCATGCTAACATTCTTGTGAAGAAGGC